TAAAACAAAGACTCCAAATCCAGAAAAGATGTTTCGTCAAAACGCTTCTTCGGAACAAAGAAACATTAAGGAGTATTGGGAACGTTGGAACTCTGGAACTTGGTCGGCTTGGCCCGATCAATGTGGCGAATGTAAAACTGAACGATGGCAGAACTTTTCCAATGATTCAAAATATTTTTACACTCCCGAGTTATCTTTCGTCAAGGCGCATCTCAATGCAGCCGTGGACCCAACAAATTTACAATCTTGGCGAACGATTGTACGATATCGTAGAAGACTGAAGGAACAAAAACGAACAACATGAATTCAGATAGATGACCCTTTTTGATTTAAGACCCTATTCATTTTTTTTCTCTGTACACTAACCTTTATTCTATTATAACTGTATCTGAATGTACTAACCATATACCACTTTCTGAACCTGTGTACATTTCCCCCCCGGAGCCCCGAGTGTAGTAGCTAACTCTCGAGTGTGGCGCTCTTCGGGAGCTGACTCTATTTTTATCACTTGAATTATGATCAGAGCTCTCTCGGATCAGGACCTCAGTCCAACTTACAACCTGTTTCTGAAAACACCATCTCAAAATAAATCAACTTTTATAAAACAACTCTAGAGACTCATCATTTAGCAGACACATCTATTCAGCAGGTTACAACAAGATTTGACTGCGCGGTCACCAAATTATGAGAACGAAAGTCTTGAAAGTTCGCTTCGACATATAGAGCGTTTCAATCGTAAATTAACGACGAGTGAAAGATATTGTCACAGTGCTGTTTTTATGAATATTCGGCTCCAAAACCCTTATGTTCGAGATGAATGGACTTACCTGCGTAATGTTATTCGAAGTAAAGTTGTTCTCAGTCGCTTAGGCTATAATTATTGACACTCCCACTGATTACAAAAAAGAGCAAAAATTGAAATTCTTGCGCCGCAATGCCATGATAAAATTTCCAATGTCGAAAATTATGACTTGGACAATGATGCCGGCGTTGTTTTCAATTATATTATAAGGGAAACAGGAGTTAACTTAAAATTTGAAAATTTTTTCAGCTAACGCTCAAAGGGATCAAGAGATACCAGATTTTATTGAAGCTTGGTCGCCAAAACTCGCTGAAATTCTTCTTGGTGATACTTAGGGACTATCACGGGAGCGCGAGGGCCCAATTTTCGCTTTCCCAACTACCCGAAATAGCCATTCATTTTTCTTGATTTTTCCGACAATATATGTTTTCTTACCTGCTGATTTCAAATATGATTGAAAAATTGGCAAAAAAATATTGAATATTATGAATAATATCGAATTTATCTTTCAAAGATCGAAAAAGTATAGAGCTCGTCTTGCCTCGTCATTCTTATTTTGATATGTTCTCTATCAGACCCTTCTTTTTAATCTTTCAAAAAATAAATTTACTTGGTTCTACTAGTCGGCCACAATCATCAGATTAGTAAGCAAAAGTGACGGCGCGCTAGTGCTTTACACGCTGCGCGGGGAGCCCGAAAAGCATTAGCGCGCGCCATAATCTCAGTGGGTGCTTGTTTTGACCCAGTACACGGAATCAGATGCAAACAATACCGGGTGATTAACACAAAAAAGTTCCCGGATTTTTTTGTATAACCTTGCATCCCTTTTAGTTTTTTTTTTTGATGGCGACCAAACAGAAAGGGAAAATAATATAAGAGGAATTCTCCAAACGATCGAATATATTTCTCAAAACTATTTAACTCATCTTGATGAAAACGAGAGTGGAGGCGATCATGGATGGTTTCTCGTTTTGGCTAGAAAAGGATAATTGACCATTTTATTTGCTCAAGAGGCTAACAGTGATGTTTGCAAGTGCCTTTGTATTTTACCTGAGCTTGAGCGCGGGTACACTCTCTGAACTCGGGTCAAGCGTATTTGACAAGACGAACTGATTTTTGTTTTGGCTTTTCATCGCGCTTGTCATAGAAAGTTTTAAACCTGCCATAAGAGAAATTCGATCGAAGGCACTGCAATGGGCGCTGTTGAAATTTTGAACTAAGAAAATTCATTCTCTTAAAAATAAATTTGCTGCAAAAATGTCGCAAAAAGAAAAGAGAATCCGCATGACATTGGCCGAGAAAAAAAGATATGCAGAGATTATAGTGAAGACGCCGGAGAAGAGTGATGCAAAGAAGATTATTAATGGGCTATTTCGAAAGACACATGATGGAAAAGACATTTCGACGCGGTTGGAGGTGGAAGAAGTACCACAAGTTCTAGTAAGAGAAGATGCCGACGCTGAAAAGCCATCGACTTCAAAATCGCCAAAGAAGCAGCCGAAAATAACGGTTTTTTGTTAAAAAGTAAATCTGTGAATAAAAATTGAAAAAATAGTGGCCTAAAGTTGGATTTTTTCGGATGACAGATTTCGGAGATTTTTCAAAAAAGTGGCCTGAAGTTGCTCGGCCTTAAGTTGGGGTTTCACTGTATCAATGGGCAATTTATAAATCTTTCTTTGAAAAAAGAAATACGGCTTACGCGGCGTCCACCCTAGCCGCGAGAGAAATGCCTGAGGGCGAATGCAGCGCTGTGCGCTTCGCGCCGCGCAAAAATGGTCAAAAATAGACCTTCAATCGTGAATTACAGTATGTTTGTCATCTGCTTCCCAAAATTTATCAACTGAATATTTTTCACCTCAATCGAAATAATATATTTATCAAAAAATTTTCTGGGAAGCTTGTGACTAACATGTATTTAACATATATTTCCATATATCTCTTCAACCCTTTAATTTTTTTCTCTAAAATATGTTTTTAACCTTTTAACAGATATATTAAACCTGTAAAAGTTTGAAAACAATACGATTTGTCTATCAAAAGATAGTATTTTTGGGCGCGAACGCTACAAACAGGGAATCTTCAATGTCAAGAAATCTCCATTTTTAGATGTAAACTTATGTTCATCATCATCATCCATAAGTGGTTCGAAATAGATTACGACCTCTAAAAATTTGAGAGAACTTTTCGTAAACTGGAAGATATTGTGCTCGACGTCGCTCTCTGTGAAAGTGAAGAACTTGAAGGAATTCCATGTGGTTTCCAACAAGCATTTTGAAGGAAAATTATGAATGTCCTAGGGTTAGGGTTCCGCACGATTGGACCAAAAATTTATTTTTTAATAAAATTTGGAGATTCCACCAAAAATATGCCAAGGAACTCATTCCTGGTCTCTGTTTTCCCCAAAAATCCCCCCTTCAGCCCTTTTTAGGGCTTCAAAGTAAATTTTGCCAAAGAGGCCTGCTGCGCGCTGATTGGCTGGCGCTCGTCGCGGGAATATAAATCGGGTAATGCTAACCACCGTCGACCTGGAGTTGGCTGAGTGGTGAGCGCTTCTCTTTGCAAAGAGGAGGCGGCGAGCTCGAAGCCAGCTCGAACGCACCCCCTTTTCCATGTTTGGCTTTCTAGCTTCAACATGGAAAACGCGGATGGGCCTCGAAAAAGAAAAATTCTTTTTGAGATTCGAGCTCACGCCCGTCCGCCAATCCTTTTTGAAGGACTGCGCTCACCACTCAGCCAACAGCTACTTGGGGGGTGGTCCCGTTTACCGAGTTTCGACTCGAAATTTCCGGAGTCAAAGTTTCCGGACATTTTTTGGATTTTAATCAATCCCCCCGATTTCGTCAACTTTGACTTCGAACTACTTTTTTTGGTCGGTTTTTAAAGGTTTTTAAAGGATGAGGGCTCATTTTGAAAATAGCAAAGTTTCGAAATCTTCAAAAATGGGATTCTCAGATTATTAATGAATTTTCTTGAAATTTTTACTTGTTTATATTCTGCCTATTTATGATATGCTTATTATTTATTATTTTCGAAATATTTTTTGCTTTATATATTATCTGGTTATTAGAATTTAGTCATTATAAATGATAGACACTTTAAAAAAGCGAAAAATGATCAGAAATAGCATCATTTGGGCCCAATTCTGATGGAAAATTTTTATTTTTGAAAAAGCGGCCAAATTTAAGCTTTCTATAGAGCCCTTATTCGTCTAATTCTATCGACTCTCAAAAGTGGAAAAATTGCGGGACCCTGCGAAATTGAGTGAAAGAAAAAAGAGAAGTTATAACGACATAGTGATTTTCAGAATTTACATTTTAAATTTACTGTGGAACAATGACAGATTTTTTAAATTTTCGCGGTATGAGCGCTAGCTGGCGTTGGTCTTCCTGTAGGCTTCTTCTTTTTCTCTCTTCGCGCTGAGTTTTCTGGCTTCTAAAAGCCGCCATCAGCTTCGATTCTGCTTCGTGCGGCTTAAGATCATCCAGCCATTCATTCAGCTTGTTAAATTTGGCTCGCCCGTTTTCGTACATCTTTTCGTGGCATAGATTTTGGATTGATTTCTCAAATCCCTTGAGAGTGGCGAAGGACGATTCTTAATTAAATTCAGATATGCTTTATTCAAAAGAAAATTACCGACTGCTCTGTTCGAGCAACTAATTTTTCTGTCGTCTGGCAAGTTCAAATTCTTTAGAAGCCCGAAATCCTTCATGTATTTCTTCAGACTTCCACCGACAACAGCAACAGCAACAGTGTTCAGTCGCTTGATTCTTGTTGCGGAAACCTTCTGGAATCTTTCTTCAATCAGTTCCACGGTTTTTAGATTCCTCGGATGAAGACATCAGAGCCGCCTGATCCAAAAGACACGAATACGGCTCGTTTGAATCAACAATCGTCTTCATTCGCTGAATCACTGACTGGAACAAGTCTTTCAATCCCAGGAAAGACAGAGCTTCGTTGTTCACCTTTGAGATCTTCTTGTGGAAATGATTGATGTTCGCGCAGTAGTTCAGGAACAATGTTGCAGCGTCGAGCAAAACCCCATTATCTCGACCGGAGCAAAGTTTGTGGATCTGGTGAAACTTGCTGTCCTCAAAACTTCTTGTCATCATGTGCTTTGTCGCGTTCATCACCGTCGGAAAATGTCTCACAAGAGCGCCCGAGTTGCGACAGTCATTACCGAAGCGCTTGCCTATTAACATTAATTGAGAAAAATCATTCGAAGGAAGTTACCTAGATCGTGAGAGAAAATCTTTGTTCTGGTGCTCTCCAAATCGTATTTAAGAAGCAGCTGAAGCGATCGGCGACCATCCTGTTGGACGTACCCAAATTTTTCTGGTTTTCCGAAGACACTCTTCACAAGTTCCAGTAAGGTAAATGCTTCTTCATTGACCTCTTTTAACGCAGAACAGCTGTTCTTGTCGCAGTTCGAAACGCAGTGCATCGCACAAAAGAGTGATGGAGGTGCTTCCTTGTTGATTTCCCGCGTCAGTTTTTCTGCAACGATTGCGTTTGCGTTGATTTGAGCTGACTGCTGGTCAGACATAAGGAGATCAATCTTCTCGCCGATGACTCGTCCCAAACTGGTCTTGTTTATGATCGCAATCATTTGGTCGGCAATTATTTGACTTGTACCTCCGATCGAACGCTCGGTTCCGATGAGATGAAGCTTGCCAGACTCGTCTATCAGCCCGACTGAAATCGTTTTGGATGCATCTAACATGGCTGCGCCGTCACTTGCGAGGTGGAATCGTTTGCCTTTAAGAATGACATCTTTGGTGTGCTCTTCGTTCAAATACTTCAATGAATCACGAAGTCGCTCAAACCAGTCAGGCGATGGAACTCTTTTTTCTTCGCCCAGAAGCTCGGGATAATACTTTGCTGTCGTTTTAAAGAAATTGTGGATGCTACTTGCTGTTTCTCCTTTAATAAGCATTTCCAGCGACAAGTTGATAAATTTGGGACTCCAAGTTCTGTTATCACCACCTTTTCCGTTACTAGGAAGTTTCCCGCTGCGAAGAAAAATATCGGTGATCGGCGATTTATCTTTAACCAGTTCCGGCTCATCATTTGCTTCCTGGATTTTGTCGACAACTTCATCTTCTTGGATTATTTCTTCTGATTCAGGCATCCATTTTTCCTCAAGCTCACCAGAATCTTCAATGAACACCTCGTTCATTTTGTCGTTGTTGTCTTCGTTGATTTCAGTCGTTTTCAATATTTGCGACAGACCAGTCGATCGGGTTCCAAGATCTTTCGCCGCAAAAGTAACGCAATCTTCCTTCGAAAAACTCGTTTTCGATTCGAAACCAGTGCTCAAGGTCTCGACGAACCTGATTTTTTCTTTGTCAATTTCATTCCTTTCAAGCAATTGTCAAAGACAAGTTCTGGTTGGTTTGTGATGATGTCTATGAAGGAGGATAGAAAAAATAACTTAGATGTATCATACCTTCGAGATAGGGAATTATCGCTGAATAAAATCCAGAAGTGTTTCTCGAATGTTTCTTTGCAATTTTCTCCAATTCTTCGGAATTCTCTAATATAGTTTCGAGGTATTCTCTTGAAAAGCCGGTGAATCGGACTTTCGTGTTGGAAGGCTTAATAATAAGCGGTGCGCGAAGGAACTTCATAAAAGATCGCTTGTTGAAAGAAAACATCTTGACGATAAAATTGAGAAAATTTACTCGCTCAATGATTCAAAAATTCGAATGAATTTTATTGCGTTAAAAAGTTAGGCTGAAATTGTAATCTAGAAAAAATTAAGTTTTCGAGAAAAAAATGCTTTTTAATTTCTAGAACTTCTACGTCAAGAAAAGACTGAGACAGCACATCAAGCGCAAGAACAGAAACTTTATTTGAAAGAGAGTAGAGTTTCTTAAAGAAGAGACAGCTATCATTTTTCGCCCCTAGTCCCCCTATTTAAGGGATCCCCCGATCTCACCAACTTTGACCTCTATCTACTTTTTTGAGCTTACGTAGCTGGTTTTGGGCGCATTAGAAAGCCCGCTTCGAAAGGAGCAAATTCTGGTAGAATCAGCTTGCCAGCAAAACATTCGCTTATGCATTAGAGGCCGTCAAAGTGATTAACATTTTGAAAAATGGCCATTTTAGGTCATTTTTAAATCGTATCTACTTTTTTTGGGCTTTGGGATTCAAAATCTTTTTCGTTTATCTAAAAGTATAGACGCTAATCTTTATTTTTTGGTAGAATCAGCATGATCGGATAAGTTAAGAAACGCGACGAATGTTTTTTGCACAGTTGGACAGTCACTGGCGATAAACTTGGTGGATAGATACTTCTGCAGGTCGATTTGCACTTTGAGAGGGGCATTAGACCAAAGTGAGGGGTTGAATTTTGAGGCAGTTTTTGGATTTTTTTAATTATTCTAATAAGTTCTTTCTGGTTTCATAAGAATAATCATTCTTCCGTTATAAGAGGGCCTCCAGAGGCTGCTTCGTTTTTAACCAATCAGAGCGCACCTAGCTTTCTCACGGCGATTCATAACAAACTGCTAGAATTAAAACTACCAGCACAAGAAAACGGTGAATTTTTAGAGAAACTTTCAAAAGAAAAATGATTTTTTATTTTATCGCTATCATAATTTGGCAACGCGAAGTTTGTGCTGCCACTAGAAGTATGAAAAACCGAGAGAAATCGGCGACTCCGATGGTGAATCGGAATATTAATATCATCATTTTTTCGCCGTATTCGAAAACCTAAACTTTATAAAAGTCAATTCTTAATACAATAAGGATTTGGATTTTGAAAAATAAGGTCCTCCAATCGTGCGGAACCCTACCTAGGGTTATTGTCTACTACGTCGTTAAGTGAACTCGTCTCTTCCTTTGTGTGGGCAGCATTCCATATGCCATACACATTCGTTACCTTTACTTGATGATGGAGTGATGGCATAGTAAATTTTTGTGACTTTCCGAAAATTCACCTGGACCAACAAAGGACACATTTGATTCAAGACCGATCCAGTCTTTGACAAAAAATTAAAATAGTTCTTTGCCTGCAGGTTTATGTCTTTGCTATTCTCATAACAAACGAGGTTTCTTCGGAAGGGTTCCTCTCGTGTCCATTTCGAGAAATGTACCTCTCGTGTCCATGCACCTCTCGTGGCCATATACCTCTCGTGTCCATATACCTCTCGTGGTCATGACGTAGAGACTTGCGATCACGGAGCATTTTGATGATAAGTTGGGTCTCCAAGCATTTTTTCAAGGATACTATGAGAAGGTCCTTTTGATTGAGTTAAAATTTCAATAGTTTCAAGTAAGAATAAGTAAATTTATTTGCACAAACCAGACAAAATTCTCTTTAGAATAAGAGGCAAATGTATGAGGGTACTATATTTAATATAGTTATCTTTTTCAGGTTTTTCGATTAAACAAATTGTTTTCATCAATTCATCTCGATTTTTATTCATATAAAAACTTAATTTATGACCTCTTATTATAAATATATAAAGCGTGTAAGCACTCTCTTTGAGGAAATTGGGAGACCCTAAGTTTCATAAGCCGGTGAGTAATGACCACGAGAGGTATATGGCCACGAGAGGTGCATGGACACGAGAGGTACATTTCTCGAAATGGACACGAGAGGAACCCTTCCGATTTCTTCGAGAGAATTCAGGAAGATGTGGAGAGAATTGAACGTTTAACACGACTTGCTGGTCTGCGTCGGTGTAATATGTGTGTTTGGTGCTATTCGTGAGGATTATCCCCAAATTCTGTAAGTTTGCGGTTCCGGATCTGGTAAAGTTGAGAAGTTGTAGAATGATGCATATTATGCTGGTCAAATTATTTTCTAGGCCGCAAATCATATCGGCGTTGAGGGTCTGTGTCTTCAGAAATCTGTAATGGGGAATTATCAATCGGGCAATAATCGAAAGCCGTTTAAACTTCCTTTTCGATTGGGAATTTACTTGGTTCTACTAGTCGGCCACAATCATCAGATTAGTAAGCAAAAGTGACGGCGCGCTAGTTCTTTACACGCTGCGCGGGGAGCCCGAAAAGCATTAGCGCGCGCCATAATCTCAGTGGGTGCTTGTTTTGACCCAGTACACGGAATCAGATGCAAACAATACCGGGTGATTAACACAAAAAAGTTCCCGGATTTTTTTGTATAACCTTGCATCCCTTTTAGTTTTTTTTGATGGCGACCAAACAGAAAGGGAAAATAATATAAGAGGAATTCTCCAAACGATCGAATATATTTCTCAAAACTATTTAACTCATCTTGATGAAAACGAGAGTGGAGGCGATCATGGATGGTTTCTCGTTTTGGCTAGAAAAGGATAATTGACCATTTTATTTGCTCAAGAGGCTAACAGTGATGTTTGCAAGTGCCTTTGTATTTTACCTGAGCTTGAGCGCGGGTACACTCTCTGAACTCGGGTCAAGCGTATTTGACAAGACGAACTGATTTTTGTTTTGGCTTTTCATCGCGCTTGTCATAGAAAGTTTTAAACCTGCCATAAGAGAAATTCGATCGAAGGCACTGCAATGGGCGCTGTTGAAATTTTGAACTAAGAAAATTCATTCTCTTAAAAATAAATTTGCTGCAAAAATGTCGCAAAAAGAAAAGAGAATCCGCATGACATTGGCCGAGAAAAAAAGATATGCAGAGATTATAGTGAAGACGCCGGAGAAGAGTGATGCAAAGAAGATTATTAATGGGCTATTTCGAAAGACACATGATGGAAAAGACATTTCGACGCGGTTGGAGGTGGAAGAAGTACCACAAGTTCTAGTAAGAGAAGATGCCGACGCTGAAAAGCCATCGACTTCAAAATCGCCAAAGAAGCAGCCGAAAATAACGGTTTTTTTTGTTAAAAAGTAAATCTGTGAATAAAAATTGAAAAAATAGTGGCCTAAAGTTGGATTTTTTTCGGATGACAGATTTCGGAGATTTTTCAAAAAAGTGGCCTGAAGTTGCTCGGCCTTAAGTTGGGGTTTCACTGTATCAATGGGCAATTTATAAATCTTTCTTTGAAAAAAAAGAAATACGGCTTACGCGGCGTCCACCCTAGCCGCGAGAGAAATGCCTGAGGGCGAATGCAGCGCTGTGCGCTTCGCGCCGCGCAAAAATGGTCAAAAATAGACCTTCAATCGTGAATTACAGTATGTTTGTCATCTGCTTCCCAAAATTTATCAACTGAATATTTTTCACCTCAATCGAAATAATATATTTATCAAAAAATTTTCTGGGAAGCTTGTGACTAACATGTATTTAACATATATTTCCATATATCTCTTCAACCCTTTAATTTTTTTTTCTCTAAAATATGTTTTTTTAACCTTTTAACAGATATATTAAACCTGTAAAAGTTTGAAAACAATACGATTTGTCTATCAAAAGATAGTATTTTTGGGCGCGAACGCTACAAACAGGGAATCTTCAATGTCAAGAAATCTCCATTTTTAGATGTAAACTTATGTTCATCATCATCATCCATAAGTGGTTCGAAATAGATAACGACCTCTAAAAATTTGAGAGAACTTTTCGTAAACTGGAAGATATTGTGCTCGACGTCGCTCTCTGTGAAAGTGAAGAACTTGAAGGAATTCCATGTGGTTTCCAACAAGCATTTTGAAGGAAAATTATGAATGTCCTAGGGTTAGGGTTCCGCACGATTGGACCAAAAATTTATTTTTTAATAAAATTTGGAGATTCCACCAAAAATATGCCAAGGAACTCATTCCTGGTCTCTGTTTTCCCCAAAATCCCCCTTCAGCCCTTTTAGGGCTTCAAAGTAAATTTTGCCAAAGAGGCCTGCTGCGCGCTGATTGGCTGGCGCTCGTCGCGGGAATATAAATCGGGTAATGCTAACCACCGTCGACCTGGAGTTGGCTGAGTGGTGAGCGCTTCTCTTTGCAAAGAGGAGGCGGCGAGCTCGAAGCCAGCTCGAACGCACCCCTTTTCCATGTTTGGCTTTCTAGCTTCAACATGGAAAACGCGGATGGGCCTCGAAAAGAAAAATTCTTTTTGAGATTCGAGCTCACGCCCGTCCGCCAATCCTTTTGAAGGACTGCGCTCACCACTCAGCCAACAGCTACTTGGGGGTGGTCCCGTTTACCGAGTTTCGACTCGAAATTTCCGGAGTCAAAGTTTCCGGACATTTTTTGGATTTTAATCAATCCCCCGATTTCGTCAACTTTGACTTCGAACTA